TTCACCACCATTGACTCCAGAAAGAGGGATTGATGATGGTGTACCTTTGGCTTGGTGAAGATAAACCGCTAAATGTTCAGTTTTTAAAAGTGCATAAAAGTCGGGTGGGAAGCTTTGGTAGCATGTGTAACTTGTGGAAACTTCATCCATCCCAGCATCGTCCTTATCTTGGACACCACTTGCATCTTTAACCTACTCTCCTTCTTCTAAAGAATCTTTCCCGTGTTGAGTACCAAGTTCTTCTCCTTATTCATCCTTCGTGCTAGCATCTAGACACTCCATTAGGATGTTGTAATGCTCGGATGCCATATCGAAAGGATCTTGGGCTTCGGTTCCAGTGGTCGAGTCTGGTGGTTTCTCTCGAGGGCCACCACTTTCCTCATACTTGCCTCAAATTGCTTAAGGGGGCCATCTCAAACTCTTTCTTCACCCTAGGTTGTTGAGGTAGTTCTTGATATGATGGTGGTGGAGCTAGGTAACCATGGGGTATGGTTGGTGAGCATGGGGAGGTGGTTGTTGAAACCATGATCCTTGACTTTCATTCCTCCTCGAAGTCCCAGGGTGACTCTATTCGGTGGATGGTTAATACCCCCAACACATTGTTAAAGTTGCAGGGATCCATGTTTCAACCACTACAAACACTAAAACACTACAAAAAAAAAAAATTAAACACACACAAACCAACCTTCGGAGCGGGGAGTGGCTTAACAAAACACAAACAAAAAATGCAAAACCAAATAAAACAGCAGAAACACGGCTAAAGCAAAACAAAAGAAAGAATGTTAAAGTATCATATTACTACTACTAATACTATTATAAGCAAGAAAGTAAGACTAAATTAATAACCTCTAACTCTTTCAACTAGTTACTATTATAATTTGTACAATGCACACTCACTTCTATCCTAGCAATGCCAAGTATAGCAATTCTAGGGATGTATTAAAGTGGCTCTGTCGTATTCCATGGGTCACGGTCTCCTAGGCTACTTAGCCTCGATTGTTATTTAGTCGACTTGTTACTTAGCAGGTGGACAGTTGGAGATTAATGAGTGAGAGGATGATAGGAGAGAAGAGGTAATTGGGGCGCCTCCCTCGCCCTAACCGCTAGGGATAACATGAAAATTTATAGAAGGACGATCTATGGTAATCGAGGTGCGAAGATCGCTAATCTAGGGATTGCCTCAATGGTCATGCAACCAATCCCCCTCCTACACCAATCCACTAGCCCAATGTCACTTCAGCTAGCTTCACGATGTCGAGATATAACATATCTCCTCTAAATGGGTTCTACCCATCCGCCCACTAGACTGTCGAGTCAATGGTCATGCACTCAACATCCTATCTTTGCACTCGACATCCTAGCTTTGCCTAGGTGGACGTCTAATGGACAGGGGTACGATCGCCTCGCCCACCATACTAGACTCTTAGATAAACCATCCTAACCTATCATGCCAAAACCTCTCAATCCACACATAGCCTAGATCAAACCATATATAGGAAATCATATATAACACATGGAGAGACAAATCCAAAGCATTATAATTATAGACTAAGTATTAAAACTCTAGGCAAACAAAATTCATCCATAAATCACAAGAAAGAGAATGATAAGTCTCTACCACCCAAGTTGCAACTACGGCAAACGGGACATAGAGAATCCCACACTACTTGATGTGTAGAAAGAATAATCATCAAATAGGTTCATAATTATCAACAAATCAAGCCTAAAAGATCTATTATATATCAAACCTTAGGTTAGGGTTTGGAGGACTAAGCCCCAAAATACCTTGAGGGACTACCTCATGAAGGGGGGAAGAAGAGACATGAATAAAGGGGAAGAAATCAGAACGAATGGTTTTTTAGTGCTGGAAATCCTCATCCAAAGATCTACTCTACTTCTTCTTCTCCATCCTTCTACTTTTCTCTCAAACCTCACTCAAGAATCAGAAATCTTTCAAAAGTCGCTATACTCAAGGAAATGAGACCCATATTTAGAGAGTTTAGAAAATGCGGGCAAGTTCGTAGTTGAGGGGCTCAAGATCGTGGCCGTAAACTTCCTTTGGAGGCTGTGATCTTCGAACGACATTGCACTAGCTACATTGAGAAGGGAGATCGCAGCATAATTTCGTGGTCGCAATGCTAAAGTCATAGCCACGATCTTGCTTGCGGTCTTAGAAGCGAAAGCCCGCAAGTAAACTATTAAGACTTTCTGTTTTCCTTTAGTTGCAGCTTCTCCGAGTTCATAGTTGCCTCCTCAAATATCACTGGAGCGATCTTTGGCTTGAGACCGCAATGTTATGTTGGACTTTGCGATCTTCGGTTTCTCGACCATGATCTTGACTCCTTTGAATGCAAACTCCATTTTGGCCCTTAAACTTTGCACTTGTGCCCGGTTTTGTGCCTAAATGGCAAGTATTGTCTAATGCACCCTAAAATTACGTGACATGCGTCGAGGAACAAATGTAGGATGAAAATGAAAATAAATTAACCATGAAGCTCAAATAACGGTATGAAATCACCTAAAATATGAGTGCTAAATAAGACCAATTTGGGTGTTAGATCATCTCCATCCCCAAATTTTGTCAATTGCCAAATGAGGTGGAGGGTGAGGTGGCAATCCTTTAGCAATTTCTAGTGATTCATGGGTGATTGCTAAGTTAGCAAGCTTGCTAAATTGACAAGTTTCCTAGCAATGCCACCTAGACATATGGGACCCACTTTCATGTTTGTTTTTTCTTTTTCTACCGCAAATTGTATTCTTGTATATTATTATTTTTAAGTTGTTGATTAGGAAAATATTATTATATGATTAATTAGTTAGAGAAGTAATTATGATACGCTTTTTTTGCTATAAATTATATCTTCGAGTTTTATCATCCAAATACAAAATAAAAGAGATGTAAAGCTACAATTGAATATTCATGAAACTAGAAAGAAATTACTCTAAATAAAAATATTTAGATATTTTTTATAGTTCAATTTATAAACGCTAATTATGCATAAATATAAGATTGTCAAATATAAGAAAAACATAAGTTTTTATATGGATATGTTGTGGGTCCCGTCAATAAAAATTGCTAAGAAATTGCTGCGATGGAGATGGCTAGAAATTGTTGAAGGTATAAATTGCTAAGTTGCTTATGTGGCCATGTGAGATCAATTTAGAAATTGCTAAACAATTTCTGGGATGGAGATAGTCTTATCAATCTCAATGGATGGAGTTGTTGGGAGAAGGTCTGTAATGGATATTATTACATTTTCTAACAACAGGCCACCTCAAAGGAAAGACCTATTGGTTTGAAGTTTACAAATGCCCTTCATACTTTGTGCTTCAAATTAACTATTAATATCAGAGGTTGTGGGATATGAACACAATACCTCTTGGTCATCATAGACTCTAATACCTTGCCAAGAAGCAACTAGTCCCACTAATTTGAGTTGTTGGTAGAGGTTCCAAAATAGATCTTACACCAATCCTTTACACGCCCCATCAAACAGCAGGCAACCCATGGGACGAAACATTCATAGGTTTATCATATCTTGTGCTTAAGCGAATTTTTTAATATTAGAGGTCTTGGAGATCTGAACACAAGCCTATCAGTCATTACAAGCTATAATATAGTTCCAAAAATCATTTGATCCCAATAACTATAGATTTTTATAGAAGGTCAATAGCGTATCTTATATCATTCTCTTACCCAACAAATGGGTGTATGTTCACCCAAGGACACTACCTCTAAAGCGGACAACAACAAGAGTTTGTCTGCCATTCTATGGCCAACCTAGTTGGTAGTCCGTGGAATCGTCCTAAAAACTATACAAAGAGGACACAACTCCAATAAATGAAGACACTCTCGAAGTAGGGTACCGCCCCAACGAATCTTCCATTGTCATATGGTCTAGTTCTTGGATCACCACTTCAGAGTCACATTCGACATTGAGGCGAGGCAAAATCCTTAAGACTCGTAGTGAAATGACATCTCTAGCAGCAAAAAGCTATATGAGGTAGGGATCAGATACTACCCGTTGTTGAGATCCCAAGACCCCAAGGCTAGTAGAACTTTCTCATTTTCCCCATGCACGAAAAGCCAGACGAGCACCCAGAGTCTTGAACGACAATGTCAAAGTTGATCTTCAGGAAAACATGAGGCGGGTAATCCCAAAAGGTAGATAATGAGGGTGCATGACTATGACGGGGAACCTGGGAGGGTTGAAAAGCTGAGGATAGTTCGAGAACTTGGAATGGAATTGACAGGCAAGAGAACGGGCATGTGGCTGAGTATACTTATAAACTACTATGTTACGAGATTTCCATATTCTCTGTGGTAGACAAACACATTGGAGAACGTGGGTTTGTAAGTTTTCAGGAAACATAACAAATCGCCACCAGATACTAAAGTTCATAGTTGAGGTGGAGCCAAGCAAATCACTTAATCCCACAAATCCAAAGCTTGATGACAAGAGGACAATGAAAGAACAAGCGTTCAATGCTCTCTTGATGTTCCCAAAACACATGACATTAGATAAGGTTCCTTAATTCTTATACCTAATTATTTGGAATGAAAAATGTATAACACCCAGGGATGGGGGTTAGTCCCAAACCACATGACATCAGATAAAATTGTCAAACTAGTATCTAGCTGGTTGGTTCAACATGATCCAACTGGAATCAGTCATCTAAACGATTGAAATACGTTATGGTTGGACGATTTATGAAAAAAGTCAAAATCAGATTAAACCATTCAAAACCAATTAGTCTATCCGGATTTGAAGATAAGAATCGATAATTTGGTAATCCTATTTTTTCTGAAGAAATAATTTAATAATATATAATAAATATTGATTACTGAGATTGTTTTAAAATATGTTAAATACATGATAATTTATTTTGTATTTGAAATTTTATCGTATATTCTATTACATTCGGTTTAGACTAGCTGAACTGCATCCAACTATTAGACGGAAAACCACTTTTCAAAGCAACTTAATGCCTATTAACAACCTTGGTTACCACCTAGTTCTCCCGACATTATTATGGTGCTATGTATTTCCACTATTCCTTCCACAAAAGAAAGAGAGAGAAAAACACGAAACCAAAATAAAATATAACTAAAAGACGGAAAGCAATAGAAAAGAAAGGGAAGGAAAAGGGGGAAAGGAAGAGAGAAAGAAAGACTTTGGAGCACCACCGCACCGATGCCGATGTGACATGTTCTACAGTCCGAATCTTCTCTCCTCCCTCACTCTAGCCTAAGTTAGAGAGTTCACCACTCTCACTCTCGCCAAATGAAATGACTCACTGAGTCACCTCGTCTCCCCCGTTCCTTCTTCTTCTTCTTCCATTCGATTCTCTTCCTTTTTGAACAATAGATAGGTAGATAGATAGATGGGTTGCACGGCCTCCAAGCTCGACAACGAGGACACCGTCCGCCGCTGTAAGGAGCGCCGCCGTCTCATGAAGGAAGCCGTCCACGCTCGCCACCACCTTGCCGCCGCCCACGCCGATTACTGCCGCTCCCTCCGCCTCACCGGCTCTGCCCTCTGCTCCTTCGCCGCCGGCGAACCCCTCGCCGTCTCCGAACAAACCCCCGCCGTCTTCCTCCACCCTCCCCACTCCTCCACCAATTCCATCCCTCCACGTGTCCCCCCTTCTCCTTCGCCTTCCCTCCACCCTCCCCCGCCTCCCCCTCCCTTTTCCCCTTCCATCGCCAGCTCCAAGCTCCCCCACATCCTCTCCGCCTCCAGCCTCGACGCCTCTTCCAATCGCCACCGCCGCAAGCAGCAGCCGCCGCCGCCGCCCAAACTCCCCCACATCCTCTCCGAGTCCAGCCCTTGCTCTTCCCCTGCCCGCAGCGAGAAATCCAATTTCACCACCGCCTTCCCCACCGCCTACCAAGCCGATTCCAACTACTCCCGCACCCCCTCCCAAGCCTCCTCTGTTTGGAACTGGGAGAATTTCTACCCTCCGTCCCCTCCCGACTCCGAATTCTTCAACCACAAAACTCCCCCGCCGCCGCCGCCGCGACACCAGAGTCACCACCTCGACGAGGCCGATGACGAGAGGACAGAGGCTGAAACCGAACGGTCAGAGTACGATTTCTTCCAGAAGCCGAGCTACCCGCATCTGATGGAAAACCCCACCGCCGCCCACAAGCAGTACAGTGCCGTCGACCCAGAGTTGGAGAGGGAAGAAGTTCAGTGTAGCGAGTGGGGAGATCACGATCGCTACAGCACAACGAGCTCCTCCGACGGCGGAGTAGAAGACGACGACGACGAAGCGGCCAGATCCGGGATCGGGACGAGGTCGAATTTCGGGGGATCGATGCGGGCGGAGTCTGTAAAGCATCAACCTCAGCAGAATCAGAAGCAGCCGACGCCGCCGCCTTCAATTTATCGGAACGCGGATGGAGCGGGCTCGTCGGCGAGTTTTAGGACCAGTGAGATGTCGGATATGAAAATGGTGGTGAGGCACAGGGATCTGAAGGAGATTGTGGAGGCTATTAAGGAGAATTTTGAGAATGCTGCAGCCGCCGGCGACCAGGTGTCGGAGCTGCTCGAAATCGGGAGAGCGCAGCTGGATCGCAGTTTCAGTCAGCTGAAGAGTAAGTTTTTTTTTTTCTTTTTGTCGTTGCTGAGAATTTCAACAGTGTTTAGGTTTTGGAATTCATTTCTTAATTATAATTTTGGGAATTGAAATATTTTGCAGAGACCGTTTACCACTCTAGCAGTGTGTTGAGCAGCTTGAGCTCGAGCTGGACTTCGAAACCGCCATTGGCGGTAAAGTACCAGCTGGACACTGCGGCGGCAGGGGCCACGAGAAGCCTCTGCTCCACATTGGAGCGGCTTTTGGCCTGGGAGAAGAAACTCTACGAGGAAGTTAAGGTACCATTCTGTAATATTCCCCTATTTGTCATTGGGCTGCTTCTTTCCTTTGGATTGCCGGGGAAAAAGATAGCTTTGGTTAACAATGAGGTGAGGATATGCACTATGGCTAGACCACCTCTCTCTGCCTCTTAGCTTAGCTGGTAGCGTGATTCCACCGCATGCGATTTGACCTAACGCTGGCCCATTAGCAACCTTGACGAAACCCAAAGTCCCAAATCACATTTCCCCCCTACTGCTTCGATTTGATTCAAATGGCAGAAATTGTCCCAAGCTGATATTACTGCTGCCACAGGAGTTTTGTAAGGACGTCAGGGTATGATGGATGTGGTTAATTTGCATTGCTTGCACCAATACAGTTATGTATGGTGGGATGTGCAAACCAATGCTGTAAGGACCTCCTCTCCTGGCAACCAAATTTCTTCAAGGTTGGCTTGTTCTGGAGTACATGTGCTCCCTTGCCAATCGGATCCCCAGCTTACAGAACTTTGTCCCTTAATGGGTTTTGTATTTTTCCTCAAAGTGGAGACAAAGTCCAGAAATACACTTGAACGCCGGTGGTGGTCGGCCCAACAGACTTGCAGCTTTTCTTTTGGCCATTTTCTGTCCACCCCAACCCACCCCACTTTAGAGCTTGCACTCGTTAGTCTCTTACATTTATTTGCCATCTGTTTGTCCATGCAAGGGAAAGAAACCTCCTTTAAGGAACATGGCCTGGAAATACCAGCAACTCAAACTGTTCATGTGTTGTTTTAGGCCAGAGAAGGTGTCAAGATTGAGCATGAAAAGAAGCTGTCGACCCTCCAGAGTCAGGAGTATAAAGGGGGCGATGTAACTAAGCTAGACAAGACTAAGACCTCAATCAAGAAGCTGCAGTCTCTTATTATTGTGACCTCGCAGGCTGTTTCCACCACCTCAACTGCCATTGTTGGTCTCAGAGACTCCGATCTCGTTCCTCAGTTGGTCGACCTTTGCCATGGGTATGTCACTCTCCTCTCCTCTCCTCTCCTCTCCTCTTCTCTTCGCTGCTCTCTCCCCTTTCTTTTTTGAAAGAATTAATGCACAAGTAGCGTTGAGGAACAAGTACCAATGATCTATAATAATAGTGTCCTTATTATAGTTTGAATTTCTTTTTTCATAAAATGAGATAAGGTCATTTGTCCAGGCGTTCATACACTGGAGCGTACATTACTACCTTCTTACGTTGTACACTCCTAGTCGATTCATTTCTCATTGGGGTTATTCTTGATCTATGTAAGTGCTCTCTAGTATTTTCAACACGCTCACGATTTCCCGGCACGCTGATTGTGTCGCAGATCGTTATTCTATGAACTATGTGATTCGGTTACCATCTATTGGGATGTCAAGTATGATAGGTTAATAGTACTAGATCTTTCCATGGTAGTAGGTGAAGCACATAATAAGGCTACTGCCCAGCTGGTGCCACTTGCTTTCATGCCTTAATGTGAACGCATGTGCTTTTCTTGTCCTCCTACTGTTCAATTCTCAACTAGCACCCAAAGTCATAAAGTTGGCCCATCTCTCGACCTCGTTGCATATGTCTCATCTCATCTCATCTCATCTCCTGGCCCTGTTCGGGGTCAAAAGGTTACTGACATTAATCGAGAACCAGGTTCAATGCACTGATATGTCGCCACCTCTCAATTGGGTATTGTTGATTTATGTGAGCTAGTGACTAGTGAGGTTTTGTCACTCTTAAGAGCAACCAGGGGCAATTGCAACACACAGGTATCAGCTGACATGACAATTGTAATTGGAGGCACATGATATTGCAACTGAATCGCATTGTTATTGTAATTTGTATGAGCGTACCACCATGAAGTCTGGCTTTTCCGAATATGATGTGCTAACATTCGGTGGTAATGCATTCCCCCCTGCAGATTCATGTACATGTGGAGGTCGATGCACCAGTACCACGAGGTCCAAACAAACATCGTGCAGCAGGTGCGGGGCCTAGTGAACAGGTCGATGAATGGCCACTCGACCTCCGAACTCCATAGGCAAGCCACACGCGACCTTGAGTCGGCTGTCTCAGCCTGGCATTCCAGTTTCTGCCGCTCAATAAAATTCCAGCGCGACTTCCTTCGATCGGTCCAAACATGGTTCAAGCTGACCCTTGTCCCAGTGAGCAGCACAGACAACACCACAAATGGTGCTGTACAACGGTCCGACGTGTACGCCTTCTGCGATGAGTGGAAGCTGGCCCTGGATCGTGTCCCCGACACGGTGGCTTCAGAAGCCATAAAAAGCTTCATCAATGTGGTCCACGTGATATCGGTAAAACAAGCGGAGGAGCTGAAGATCCACAAGAGAACCGAGAGTGCATCGAAGGAGCTGGAGAAGAAGGCGTCCTCGCTACGCAACATAGAGAGGAAATTCTACCATTCGTATTCGATGGTAGGAGTGGGGCTCCCTGATAACGGGGCGGAGAATGGACCGGCGGGGCTGGATGCTCGAGATCCACTGTCGGAGAAGAAATCGGAGCTTGCGGCGTGTCAGAGAAGGGTGGAGGATGAGATGGTGAAGCATGCTAAAGCAGTGGAGGTTACTAGAGCGATGACGTTGAACAATTTACAGACAGGGTTGCCGGGGGTTTTCCAGGCGTTGACTAGCTTCTCTGCATTGTTTACGGAGGCGCTTGGGACGGTATGCACCCATTCCTACGGTATCAAGTAGTGGTGCAATTTTTGTTTTACTTGGTTTGTTTATGGGGTGGGGAAGTTTGTTTTGTAAGGGCTGGGGAAAATTTTCCTTTCTATTTTGGATGGGGAAAGTATCATCATTATATTTTTGACATGTAAATATGTGGCTGTTTCGATTTTGGCGATATATGTCTTTTGTTGTTGTTGCTGCTACTCTTGATTTGGTTGGAAAGGAGAGAAATGGGGACTCTCTGTACATGACACGATTGCTACTTTGCATTTGTTGTACTAGAGGAGGTGAAATAAATTATGCTGCCTGCCTGCCTGCCTAATGTGCATCTGTTTTCTTAATGAATGAACTTTAACCCCAAGCATTTTAACTTGTAATACGCAACGCAACTATTAAAAATTCCCGACCCGATCGGTTTGCGTAAGCCTTAAAATTCTGAAGTTTTTTATCAAATCTGGAACTCCAGTTCTCTGACAGCCTTAAAATTCTGAAGTTTTTTATCAAATCTGGAACTCCAGTTCTCTGACATAAGGCTAATTCCAATGGAGCCTCAATAAATGGGGAGCCTCTATATTTGGGGGAAAGTTGGCTCCAATGGAGCCTCTATATTTGGGGAAATCTCCAAAAGGATCCCCAAATTTGGGGGTGGAAATGAGAGTTCCCCAAATATAGAGACTCCCCAAAGCCCGCCATGTGGTGTTTCTTTTTCTTTTTAAGATTTTAAGGGTTAATTGGGGTTTAACTAGGGGATTAGTTAGGGGTGTAATTAGCATGGTCCATGAAACCGTATCGTACCGGCGGTTCAACCACAAAATACCAGTATCGGAGGCTAAACCGGTAGGCGGTATTTAACGGTATGAACGGTTGAACTACGGTTAAACCACGGTTTTATCATAAAATACCCTACCGCTGACTTTTCCGGTACGGTATCCGGTACGGTTTCATGGACCTTGGTAATTAGATCAATAATTTTCAAGTGTTGTGTATAAACCCAAATTAGGTCAATCATTTTTTGTCAACAAAAATTTGGTCTCAAAATTAAAAAAAAATTCTAACGGAAAATTTGTATTTAAAAATGATGACGAACTATACAAAAATTAATATGAACAAATTATATTAAGGTTTCGATAAGTACATTTTTAAGCAAATGGGAAACTTAAAAAATGGAGATCTCCAAATATAGAGGATGTAGCATTGGAGCAAAAGAAGGGAAAATGGAGATGAACTCCAAATTTGAGGATGAAGATCCCAAATTTTGGGGCTTTCATTGTAGTTGGTCTAAACAAGATTTTGGTTGGCCGTGTAGTAAAAAAAAAAAATGCGAGCCACAGTTTGACCGGCGCTTGCTATGGTTATGGTTAGGTCTAATCCGTCTGTCTAACTCAAATGCAACGGCACGTCTGGCTGACGTTTTTTTTTTTTTTTTTTTTTTTTTTACGTTAACCGGCCGGATTTTGGGATCTCTTGTGTTGATCAGTTTACAAATTTGGGCTGCACAAGCAAAGCAATTCAATGTTACTTCTGGACCGGACTGACACCAACAGTGGATCTGTATCTGTTTGCAAGTGGTGCATCACTACACAGTACCGCCCCACCCTAAATTTAGTAATTTACACACGAATCTCTTTCTTTTCTTGGGTTAAACCTTTGAGTTTAAGCAAAATAATATATAAATCTTTTAAAAAATATTATAATATCTTAATTGTTAATTTTTCATCCAGTCAAAAACCACTTGACTATGATGTGGCTAATTCATATTGACATCGTAGTCAAGAGACTCTGGGTTTGATCCCCAATGAAGTCGTATAGAACTTCCACCTTCTAATCAAATCTTACAAAAACCAAACTGATCAAATTGCAAATCTTACATCACACTCAATATGCAATTGCAAAGAGAATGCACTAATGTAGTGAGCACTTGTAAATAAGCAAGCTTGCATTTGATAAAATTTAAGATGCAAACCACATAGGAAAAAAAATTATTCATTTTACTCAATTTTTTTTTGTCTTACAAAATCACTTGGACTCATTATAGGGTTAAAGACACATTTGGTCACTGAGATTACAAAATCGGGACATGTTTAGTCACTAGAAAAAATTAATATCAAATTTGGTCACTACAATTACTAAAACTGGACACATTTAGTCACTCGCCGTTTGTCTCCGTCCAACTCCGTTAATGAAGTCCGTTAAGTGATGATGTGGCAAACAGAATTGCCTAATGAGCCGGATATAACCCAACAAAAATAAAACCCGACCCGCCACGTCATTAAAACCAACCCAACCCCACCCAACCCTTCTTCCTCCTTCCTCTCACCTCCTTTCCCCAAAACTAACCTCTGAATCACAAGGCTTCCCACACCACTAGCGCCATTGAGGATCAGAATCGATTTCCCAGAAGAGAACCCAGTTCTCTCCAGACCTTCATAAGCCTTCTCGATTGCAAGAGGGAGCGCATCAGCCTGAGCGAAATCCAGACCCTTGGGCTTAAGAGCCAGCAATTTCTCTTCCACGGTCGTGCATTACGCTAGGGAACCAATATGTTTCGGCCCATCCAGGGCCTTCTCGTGAATATCGCCGTAAACCTCATCTCCTTCTTTGAACTCCTTCTACTTTCCAGCTTTCACCACCACTCCGGCAACATCATACCCTGGAACAGTCTACAAAGACACATTTTAAATTTTCTCTCAGTAATCAAACAGGCAGTACAGCTAATTGAAAGAATTGAGGAATTAATTACTCCGACTGTTTAACCTACCCGAAGAGCAGAATCGGTGGCTTGGAACTTCCCCTGCCTTCGCTTGAAATCCACGGGGGTTGAGAGCGGCGGCGACGACCATGACCAGAACCTTGACCAGAGCGGCGACGGCGGTAGTTTTGGGGAAAGGAGGTGAGAGGAAGGAGGAAGAAGGGTTGGGTGGGGTTGGGTTGGGTTGGTTTTAATGACGTGGCGAGTTATAATGACGTGGCGGGTCGGGTTTTATTTTTGTTGGGTTATATCCGGCTGATTAGACAATTCTGTTTGCCACATCATCACTTAACGGACTTCATTAACGGAGTTGGACGGAGACTAACGGCGAGTGACTAAATGTGTCCAGTTTTAGTAATTGTAGTGACCAAATTTGATATTAATTTTTTCTATTGACTAAACATGTCCCGATTTTGTAATCTCAGTGACCAAATGTGTCTTTAACCCACTCATTATATATGCAATTGCAAGTGAATTGCATGGAGCGGATAGGGTGCTAACATTCTTTAGAATTAGCAGCCTACTAACACTTACTATAAAGGTATATTAGTAACTGTAACCTTTCCCTTCTCTGTTTGGAAAGAGGGGTAAATGGGAGGAGGGTGCAAATGTGAGGGGTAAACACAGCTTCCTACACATTTGCACTTGTTTGGATAATTTTGAAGAGTAGGGGGTGCAAACTGCCGGTGCAGAATTACTATTTCGGCTTACCCCAAATTGGGGTGCAAGAGAAGGAAGGAAGAGAGGGAGGAATGGAGAAATTATGAATTTTTATTTTTTAATTGCTTCTGACTTATATAATAATTAATATGATCAATTTATGGAAATTATAATAATTATAGTTATCATTAATATAGACATTGTTCGGAGTTGACCGTTGGACTCCGAGAGCAAGTTTATCAATGTTAGTCTAGTCAAATAGAGATATCTTGGTTGACTCGAATTTGCATTGAAACTTAGAGATAAGAAGTGTTTGGGGAACTTGTTTGACTAAATTTGACCATATTCAATTTAAAGATATATTAGACACGAGAACTTTGTAGCATGACCAGTTACGAGTTGACCATATTCAATTTAAAGATATATTAAATTTTTATTAAAATATATTAATTATTATATAATTATTTTCTTTTATTATTTTGTGATAATATTTTATAAATTTAATAAATCTATTTTATAATAATATAATATTTATTTTTAACTCTATTTGCACTCCCTACTTTTTCATCCAAACAACAATTTATCCCTCCACTTACACCCCCACCAATTTGCATCCTCCTACAATTTGCACCCCCTCGGATTTGCACCCCCTTGTTGCCGAACATACATTTTCCCCTTTCCATTCCTCTTCCTCTCCCTTTCTCTTATTCTACGTTGCTTTCGTTGGCTTCCATATACAAAATTATAGTTTTGGTCCCTAAACTTAATGGTTCTTTATATTTAGTGACTAAAATTTATTTTATTACATATATGCCTAAAAATACTGATGAAAAAAATATATTTGAGTACCCATAAATTTTTTCATACATTTTGATACCTAAACTTTATAAAATTTATAAATAGGTCCAATGATATGGTATGCTTTAAGAAACTTGTGGTAGGCATTGATAAACTTGTGGTATGCTTTGATGAACTTGTGATATGCTTTGATAAACTTGTGGAATGCTTCTCCTTCTCTCTTCCCTCCCTCTTTCAAGTTGTAGTATGCTTTGATAAACTTGCGATAGGCTTTAATGAACTTGTGGTAGACTTTGATGAACTTGTGGTAGGCTTCACATTCCCCTTCCCCTCCCTTTTGCCCTTATCTTTCTTCTCTTCTCACTTTTGGTAAATTTGTGATAGCCTTTATGAGGCTTATGGAATGCTTAAAAATACTTGTAGTATGCTTATGAAACATCTCCTTCAGTAATTATCACAAGCAGTTCTATGTTCCTTCAGTAATGATCACAAACAGTTGATGTGCAGATTGGCAAACACAATGAAACTTTTCCGCCAAAACAACCAAATTGTCTCTCTTTGCTTTTGTCAACGCAAACAAGTAACAAAATTGGTTTGCTTTTGTCAACGCTTTGTCTCTATTTGCTGTCGGGTTCTTCCATGGCGGAAGTGGGTTCCAATGCCTTCCTCCCGCCAGGATGCGGCTAGCCGGAGGGGGGACGATGATTCGGAATTGTTAGAGTTTGTTTGAAAGTTGAGATTTTTCAAATATGTTGTTAGAATATGACTTGAATTTGATTTGGATTTGTTTTGTGTTTTGGGCTTATTTTGTTTGGGTTTGTGTTTGGGCTTTGTTTGACCTTTTCCTTGTATGTTTGGGAAAAGGTATTTGGTTTTCTGTTTGGGATTAGGAGAAGAGTTCTATAAATACTCTTCATCACCCTAGTCTGTAGTAAGGTTAGTCAGGTTAGTTTGTTTGGTTTGTCCATTTGAAATTTGGTTTGTAACCTGTACTCTCCTCAAATCAGTGAAATTTGTTCTCCTCTGTCCGTGGATTAGCTAGCACACATTGTGTTAGTGAACCACGTTAAATTTTTGTTCGTTCGTGTTGGTTTGGATTATCGATTGCACGCTTCTGTTCTGACAAGTGGTATCAGAGTCTTTGGTTGCGGTTTTGGGAATTTGGCGCCGAACTGAATTGT